CATATCTTTAATATAATTGATTCAAAGCCGTTTAATTATATTGCTGTGACATTTTCCTTCCTTAGCGTGATATAACATGCAGCCACCATGCTAGAACAACCGTGACCTAGCTGCAGTCAGCAAGGCTCGAGCCATTTTGGTTTAATTTAATGCAATAAAGGCGTTGGTGTGGTATACAAAACAACGACTTAAGAACTGTTTTGGTGACATGCACTCCCATTTAAGGTCACCCTTTTAGAACATACTTTTTAAAATTGATGCCATTTCACCGTGAGATATTTAGGTGCATTGATATAAAAACACGTAGACTCCGCCATCTTGGATGTGGCAGAACTGCCTGTAAAGTAATAAAAGAAAACGGACTGAACTCCATAAAGCGCCTTTCTACAACGAGCTTTAAGTTAATGCATCTTATTCACCCATTCACACACACACTAATATATCTGGGAAGCAAATAGGCACCAAAAAAACCTAAGTAACTTTTAAAGTGATGATTATAAACGTTTACTCCTGATGTTTAGGATATAAGGAAACACCAAACCAGCGTCTGTACTTTTAATGCTGAGTGTTTTCAGCTACTAATGCCTGTAACACTGTTACTGTAATATAAATATTGAAACCAGATAACCAGATTCTGAAAAGTAAATGTGACCCGAGGATTTCCAAATAAAGAGAACAAACATTTAACTGATTTTGATTAATCGTTTTTAATTTCACATTTATAATATATATTATATGAGCCAGATTGAAAAATCAGGCTATAGAAACGTATAGTACAGTTTGTGGTGGATTGCAAAATTGGAGGTTCGGCTTGCTGCTGCCGCACTTCGCGCTTCAGTCTGTATTTTAACAGGAATTTTGTCATAATTCCTAGGTTTTCGTTTTTCCACCTGTCTCTTGATGATTGACCATTAGTTTTCAATGGGATTAAGATCAGGGGAGTTTCCAGCCCATGGACCCAAAATCTCTATGTTTTGTTCCTTAAGCCAGTTAGATATCACCTTTGCTTTATGGCAAGGTGCTCCACCATGCTGGAAAAGGCCTTGTTCATCACCAAACTGCTCTTGGACGGTTAGGAGAAGTTGCTCTCGGAGGACATTCTGGTACCATTCTTTATTCATGGCTGTGTTTTTAGGTAAGACTGTGAGAGAGTTGACTCCCTTGACTGAGAGGCAACCCCACACATGAATGGTTTCAGGATGCTTTACAGTTGGCATGAGACAAGACTGGTGGTAGCGCTCACCTCATCTTCTCTGAACAAGCCGTTTTCCAGATGTCCCAAACAACTGGAAAGGGGATTCATCAGAGAAAATGACTTTACCCCAGTCCTCAGCAGTCCGCCCACTGTACCTTTTGCAGAATATCAGTCTGTCCCTGAGGTTTTTCCTGGAGAGAAGTGGCTTCTTTGCTGCCCTCCTTGAGATCAGGCCTTGCTCCAAGAGTCTCCGCCTCACAGTGCGTGCAGATGCACTCACACCCTAACCCTAACCCTGACCCTAACCCTAACCCTAACACTCACACCTGCCTGCTGCCATTCCTGAGCTAGCTCTGCACTGCTGGTAGCCCGATCCCGCAGCCTGAACACTTTTAAGAGACGGTCCTGACGCTTGCTGGTCTTTCTTGGGCGCCCTGGAGCCATTTTGGCAACAATGACGTTGAAATGTGTTTTGGGGGATAAAGTTCATTTTCTGGGCAAATAATGACATTGCAATGAATTGCTGTTATGCTGAACACTCTTTTTAACATTCTGGAGTATATGC